AAATTTTTTATAACATTATTCCGAAACTTAACACCATATCCTTTCTGATGTCAGTTTAAATTGAGTTTTTTAACATTTACTTTCAAACTTTGTGTTATGCTTTTGTTATTTTCTTGATATATCATCCAAATGAAGTTTTTCATTGACTTCAAAATAAATTTTCATGGACATAATACTAAATTTTGAACGAAACTCCCTTATGCAAAGAAGTTAGAGTCCCATATACAAGGACATTCACATGTATCCAAATGGTCTGTTTTAAACTGCAACATTGATCATCTTCTTTTGAAATTAAATCAATAAATTTTAAAAAAAATTAAAATATAACAGAAGTTTTTTACAAGGATTCAGCAGTATTCTTTAATTTAACTTGAAACATTAAATATTTTAGTAAAATCAATGTTCGACAAAAAATTTTTAAAGGAAAAAATGCTCATCTTTTTCTTTAGAAAATAAATTATATCAAATGGTAAATAAAATTTTGGGAATATATTATTATACAAGGATTTTTAATTTATTCCCTGTTTTAGCATAAAAAAAAAATGAAAACGAAATAAAAATATATCGTATTATACACATTTACATATGATTCATTTGTTTTTTTGATACGCGGTTTAAAAAAATATTAGAGATTTGGAACATTAAAGATTAAAGACAGTATTGACCTTTAACACTAACGATAATAAAAAAAAAATATTAAAGGTGTTGATCTATAAAGACGGTTCCATATAGGATACAGGTTTGATTCCTGTCAGAGGACAAAAATTTTCTTTGAAAATTTCTCAGACATTCAGGCCCAGTAAATGTTGTTTATTACTTTTTATTATAAAATATAGCATTTACTTAAATATTTGTATCAAAAAGAATGTAATGAATATTAAAATGTCTTTAAATAATTGTCAGATTTTTTTATTTTATAATGATATCAAACCACAATTTAACTTGAAACATTAAAATTTTTGCAAATCAAAACCAATTGAAAAGTCCGAAAATGTAAAGAAATGCTCATCTTTTGTATTAGATCAATAAATTATAATAATGCTAAATATATTTAGATAGATAAATATTTTTTTACAGTAATGTTAATGTGAGAACGTATCTTATATCTGAAGTGATGCATTTGAAAAAATTGAAATGTGAAAAATGAAATGTTTGCTGTCATGTATTTGAATGTTTATATATTGACATATTCTAACCTTTACCCCCATACCTCCAGGAGAATCGATGTCAAGTTTTTGGTGCATGAAAAACTCTAATATATATATATATATATATATATATATATATATAAAATTTCATTGAGTTAACCTGTAGAAAAATACAATATTTATAAATATAAATAACAATAGGAAAACTGTAATAGTTGTAAATGAAGTTTCGTCCAATGTGATATCTTTCTCAAGGCAAAAACTGAAATGAATTTATTTAAACAAAGTAACTTTTAAAACATTGCAAAATGTCCTTTTATTCTCTCCCACATTTAAAACGCTATTTTCATACAGTTAACTGAAAATTGAATTACTATCACGTTTGAAGATATTGTTTTATTTCTGTGTTGACGGATTCAACCATTTTCTTTTGATTTCAGTATTGTTTTGTAACATTGTTTAAAAGAGAGGGAATTTGTTAAGGTTAACGATTAAATAGAAAAAAAAAACCTAATGAATAAACAAACACACTGGTTATTTATCAGCTTATGTGCAGGATATTGTTTTTAAATTTTGTTGCTGTTATCAAGATGATCATAAATTATGCTCTCTGGCCTTCATCAGGTGTTTATCGACTTGGTAGAATAACCCAACAGTAATTTAAGGTTAAGGATTAGGAAGAAAAACAAAATTTAATAAATAAACAAGCATGCTGCTTTTTTCGTATATCATATTTCTGAAATATGATATATTTGAGAGGGTCAATTGGTCACAAGTCCTGCATAAAAAAAAAAAGATATGGTTTTGAACACTATTTACATTATTTGGACTATTGTTCTCGTCTTTGTTGCCATATTTATTACGTTTTGGCCATTGTATGCTCCACCTTCTTCAGCTGGTTGGAATGTCGAACTGAACCTTTTATTTCGCTCACTGGGGTAGACTGTTCTAGTTCCACATGCCATGGTTTAATGGATGTCAGTTATCTCCTGTTAATTCCCCTCTGTTCTCCCCTGCCTTAACCGGTATTGAACTCGCACTCTTTGGGTCCTGTCACTGGATCTAACTAATGCCTTTATCCACTGTGTCATGTTGTAATAAATATGGCGACAAAGATGAGGACAATAGTCCGAATAATGTAAATAGTGTACATAATACCTCATCTCAGCAACATAGACAGATACTGAACAGCCAAACGTTGTAATAAATATGGCGACAAAGATGAGGACAATAGTCCGAATAATGTAAATAATGTACATAATACCTCATCTCAGAAATATAGTCAGGTTTGTGGACACTGTTCAATATATTTATTTCTTTGAGAATTTACAATAATTCTCTGCATTTTATCT